TTTTGAAACCTTTAATCCTTTCCTGACATTGTGTGAAAAGCGCTTGCAGATCGAGTTATTCCAGACGAAGTTGTAGCCGTTTCAATGCGGCTAGGTGTGCCAGACCAAAACTACCCTGAGCCTCCTTAAAACGTTTATTTTCTCAAAACACTCAAAAATATCTGAGTTGCATGAGCAAAAGAGGTAATATATACAAACTACACATGAATTTATATTTAGCCACATAGTTAGAATATTTCCATATGTTTTTTCCTCGTTGCGTTTCTTCACAGATGTCAATATAAGTTAATTCTGCTTACAGACCTTCCTTTTTTGAGTTCGTACACGTATTTGGAATGATTTCTACTAACTGAAATGTAGCACTATTAAATAAACGCAAATTCAGTGTCCACGTTTCTTGTACTCATAAGATCTATTTGTGCTACTTACCGTAGACTATATCCATTAACATCAAGGCAACAGCCACTTTCAGAGACATTCTTTGATCAGAAGCTAAAACGTCTTTAATTTATCTGCTTCAAGATGGCGGGGAAGTAAATTAATAATTACTTGAACTTTTGTGATACCCCGAAAGTTAACATTTTCTTAAAATTCTTCGGCGCTTACGACAGATGTCGACTGCAAAAAATCGCCATTAAACAAGACAAGGGTTTGTTTTTGACTCTAGATGTCACCTGGGAGAGGAATGACTAATAAAGAGGAGTTGAAGCTTTTTACGCAACTTTCATCAATATTAAACATCGGAATAATAATAACAAAATTTATAAATAACACTTTATTAAAAGCGGCAAACAATACATACGAAACATCAGAGACATAAGCCTTTCTTCCCATATGAAACTCTTTTAGTGAACTTTCCGTGCGGATATAAGCTCGCATTATTTTATATTTATATTATAAGATGCATGAGCATTATTTGTTTTCCTACTTTATTTTAGGGTTTTAGGTAACTTAAACATAAATTGTTTTGTCGTATGCAAAACGCAGGTACGTACAAACATTATTGACGTTATTGGCATGCATAATGTATTACGCCAAACTAAAGGTTTTGATCGATAATTGTTAGACGCACTAACTTTTAGTTATAAAAGTCGATTCTTTATTTCGCGTTAATAGAGATTTTTTTATCATCTCATCATCTCATCAAAAGTGATTAAAGTAAAGTTTGCATTTTTTTTGGATGGATAGACCTCCTCGGCTCGGGCTAATGTTTTCCCATTTCATACCACATGTCATTCTCTTGAGAATAAGTTCTTTGTTTGAGTTGCCATCAATATTCATGTGCCTTCTCATATGCAACCGAACGCAGGGGTAAACAAATATATGATACTCCTCATTGTGGCGGGCGATTCATGTTTTTATGATTACTGCGGCTTTGTATGGTACCATGGCAATCCCCCGGCGAATTTGCTCTGCTTCTGGTTTCTATAAAATAAACCTTTTTTTGGGGAACGGGTAATCAGTCCTCAGTCCAACCCCCAGCCTGAAGAATCAGGTGCGGACTGTGGCGGCCGACAGGGAAATGGGGAAGAGCTCTGTGAAGGCCCTATGTGCCATTTAGGCGCGAGGAGGATGATAGGTACAGGTACATCGGCTTTGTAGTATAAAGTGGCTTTGTAGTGGGCCCGTTCGTAAGCGTGGATAGCGCTATCCGATAGATAAGTCCTTATACAGTGGACAAGGCGACACTGTCATCCAATAAAAGAAAAGAAAATCAATCTAGAAGTTGTCCTATCTGAAATGGGCGATCTGAAAACCAAAAGGAATTTTTGTGCATTTATGTTTTCTTGCTAAAATACGAAAACAATCATATAATATTAATAACACAAATATCATGCCACATATTTCAATCAAAAAGGAAACCGATTTTCGGCTGTAAACACTTTACAATTCGCAGCGTGCTCTACTCACTCCCAGGTTTCACTTTCAGATCTCCGACTGACGTCTTTTTCAAAATAAAATAATTCCCTTCCCTTGAGTATTGAAACCTTTTTTGGTTTGTTTTATCGGAAAGGCGTCAGGTACTCAGCAGGTCACGATACATGCTATGATTATTGGGCATCTTATTTGAATGGTTTGAAGAAAAGTTGAAATAAGCATGAAACCGGTATTTAAAGATGTCTCAGGCGAAATAATTCACAAGGTCAGATGAGACTTCAATTCCAAAAGCATATTTATATTCTGTCGCGTTCGACGTGTTAGAATTCTTGAGCTTAATATAAATTTTGAAAAGTTTTGGCATAATTTTATAATTTGACATAATTAGCTTTTTGAAACAAACGGAAGTCTGCATATTTAATTTGGACGTAATTTTTACTATAAACATTACCATTGTACAAGTATAACAATATGTTTGACGCTTTCATTAATGGATAGTTCAATGGATTTCTGGTTTGGCGTCAATTCAAAATAAACATTAATATTATATGTAATGCTTAGTGCAGTTTTCGTATGACTGTGAAAAGTTCACGGCACAAGCACGGTCGTGACACAGCAAGGGAAACGCCAGACAAGTCACATTGCACGAGAATTTACTCTCCATCCAATCAAATACCCGGAACACGGCATACAGTAAACACGGCGCGGACACGGTCACGACAAGATCACGGCACTTTTAGACCAATCATATTGCGCGTGAAAAAAATCAGCAAATTCAAATTCTAGAAAGCATCACGATTTCGGCACGTCACGCTTACGGCACTGAGCTTTTCACAGTCATACGAAAACTGCACTACAGCATGAGCGGCCGTGTTGTATCGGCATATTACGCGATGACCGCGAGCCGAAGGTGAGGGATTGATGTGCCTTCAATTGCAAATACAAACGACAAAACACAACATAATTAACAGATATATGTTTATTTGTATTAATTATTACTGATAGGATCCTACCCAATAATCTTTTGGAGGCATTTCCTATAGGATTCCCGTGTATAGTCCTATTGATTAGCATCTACCAGCTGTCAATCAATATCAGCATGTCGTCAGTGATAAAGAGAACGAAGAGCTAGATTACCACGTGACAGAAATTAATGTCTACGCATGCTCTAGGAGGAAGGGGGCAACTCTAGGCAAATGGCTTAAATAGTGTTGTTTCCATTTGTGACGTAAATTATGTAGTCTTATGCGATTCTGCATAATTTCAGGGACCGGAAGTTATCTAAAATGGCATGCAAACCATTGCAAGCTCGCTCTGCAAGAGCGAAGAAAAGTCTTTCCTGATTTGTGTGCATGAGACTTTGGAGACCCCAGCCCGAATTTGCGGGGTGCGCCAAGGTAGCTCAAAAATCGCAATTCATTCAAGCAAATTCGTACTTGGTTTAAAGGTAGACACATGTTTGTGGTTTGATTATGTGAGGATTGTTTAATTTTATTAAAAGTAAGCAGCGAT